ATATATATGTATGTATAATACATGCTATAAGAGAGATTGCTATGAGAGACTATGCTCAGTTCGGAGACTTAACAAGAATACATTTTGATAAAAAACAGTTACAGTCAAGATTCTATGAGGATCTACAGTTCAGAGTAGGGCTGCACGATATCAGGAAAACCTGTGATATGTGATAACAGTGCTTAATATTGCGATGACGATGTGACTTGTGATAAATGAACAAATACATAAGTATGTAGAAGTATTATATTTTCTGCTCTGGGTTCTGAGCAAAAAAACAAACAAACAAACAAACAAACAAACAAACAAACAAACAAACAAATAAAACAAACAAAGAAAGAAAACTAATCATTTTAATTCTGGTATGAATTTATAAAAATTTGAAGAGTAATATATGAAGGGCTCCATTTGATTGGTGAAATACTTCCAAGCTTCCGTCTGAGTGACAAAACTCATAAATGCAAACAGTTTATGCATTTATAGCAATATGCATATTGCACAAGCAGTTATTGCGATGACAATACATTTTCAATATATTGTGCAGCCCTAGTTCAGACTGTGACTTGGGTAACACTATCCTCCTCAGTTCAGAGTGAATATGTCTTTATTTTTTAACCTTGTTTTACATCCCTAAAGATAAATACAAATGCCCAGTGAAAGCATAATTTTATGTTTATGTTAACTTTTATGTTTATCAATAGAGCTCAAATAGAGAGGACTACAGAGGTGTGGAGGAACCACCATTCTAACAGAATTACAATTGTATAACTAAATTACAACTATATAATTACCATGCTATTACATTTATGTTTTTTAACAGTACAAAATGCATGAAGTACACTTGAGTGTACATAATTATTTCTTTAAAAAATAAAGATAGAATTTTTTTTCAAACCTTGTTTTACATCCCTAAGGATGTATAAAAACACTTAGTAAAAAAAGTGACTGAGTTTATCATAATTCATGCATGAAAGGGCTAAAGCATTTGTAAGTTATCATAGATATTGCGCCCCCTTCATTTCTGGAGTGTAATGGAGCTACTTTCACATATGGTGTGGCAYGGGCATCGGGCACGACATCGCCCCTTACCTCCTCCTGCCTCAAGGCAGAGAGTGAAGTGAACGTTGGTTACGTATTGTAACCCCAGATTCTATGAGTGTAAGCGCAGCCCTCTAAGGCTATCGCAGATGGGTACCCCCGCGCGCG